CAGAAAAGAAGAGATAAAGTATGCACTCTGTTTCTGTAATGTTTAGCAGAACTTTTGTTGTTCACCTTTGAATTGCAGCTTCTCTAGCACTGAATAATCTGTGTCTAAATTAAATGCTATATTCAATAAAGCAGTGGTGTTTGCCTGGATTTGACTATTTGCAGAATGGAGACTATATTCTCTTGTTCCTGCTCTAATCCAAAGGCCTGTATAAGTAAAGAGAACGATTTGCCAAAGAGGAAGAAGCAAATAAAGGGAAATCATCTCCTTTTCTCACCAAGACTTTTATTACTCTGGTGTTGAGAAGCTACAGTAAATTCAGCTGACATAATGTAGCCAAAGTTTAGTAGTCTGTGAATTGAAAAAAGTGAATATAGGTCAAGTGTGCTTTCTAAACATCTTCAAACGCAAAGAGGGGAGGTGGAAAAGGACCTTACATGCAGGCACCCCTGGACCAAAGAGCAAGATCATGAAGTACCCTATTTTTCACAAGCACCTAGCATCCCCAGCTGAGGCTGAGCCCAGAAAATGTAAGCACCTGCTAATAAGTACTTACAGTGCTCCCCTGTCCTCCCCCCTGCCCCAGTCTAATTAGCCTATAAACAAAGATGGCGAAAGAAAACGGCAGTAAAGAGATGATACCTTTTTGCCCAAAGTCACACAATAAGCAAAATAGGCTGAGCAAGGGAGAAAATGCAGGTCTCTTGTATATCAGGAGATTGCTTTTTCTGTAGGACTGTGTTGCTTCTTAGCATCAAGCGTTTATGCTGTCAAGATAAAGGCCCAAAATGGATTAATATTTTACTTGTCAAGACAAGATGACAAATGAGTAGGTGTTTATGGGCTTCCTGTTTTAACACACAATAAAATTTTAAAATATTTTACCGTTATGCCCACTGCAGCATAGACAAAAGGAATGGTGCGTATTACTCTGTCTTAACCTTATTATTAGCATGAAAGCTGAGAATTCTTGAATTTTAGAGCAGTGAATATATTTTGCAAAAAATTTAAAAACTAGAAAATGCCTTGATTCTGTGGAAAAGTATGAAAAACACTTCTTGCTGTAGCATGACTGATGAAAGTCAAACTCCTTTCTGAACATTGAAAGAATAGAACTCAAAAAAAGAATTGTTAAATTCATACAGTAATTTAGGGGGTAGCAATAAAACCCTGAAACTAGGACAGTCGTATATTTTGTAAAAGGGCAGGTACCTTGATGTCTGAATTCTTTCACTTGCTTTCATTTCCAACCAAATAAATAAACATCTGTGCCCCTTAGTTTATGCCATGCTAATGTCCTACAGGGTGGTAGAAAAAGCACCACCTAAAGAAAATGAAAAGGATAATAATGCTTTTGTGGTCACATCCTTTCCTGTGTCTCTTCTCTCTGCACATCACTTCCCTCACACCGTCAAGGAGAAAGCAGATGATGTGCTGAATGGTATTGGGTTTTAGTTGTCTCCAAGGCAATTTCCTAATAGGATGAATTTTGTTTCATTGCTTCAAAACTTTCCATGCATAACTCTTCAACTATAATCAGATGTTCTATTTTTCCTAAGCTCCTATTGGCACTTGAGATCAGCCAGCGGTGGTTCGCTGTCACAGATTTCAGCAGTATTGCAAATGGCGATATCATAGCAGAATCAAAATTTCTTTAAAATCACTCTTGATGGCTCACCAGGGTCTAACTCCAGAGAACTTTGTCAGCAGTTCCTATGTGTTTTTCACTTATGTGAGTCTTGCATCTTTAAAAAAAAAAGTATTTTGCTGTAATGGCTAGGAAGCTTAGTAACCTGTTCTTAAGTGTGTGGTGGCTTAGTTGTCAATATAGTATGCATAACCGTGTATAATTAATGCTTTTAAAAATAAACTCTAGCCTTGCTTATATTGTGGAATCTTTTGTACAGCCAAGGCTTCAGGATCATGTAGGAAATGAAGCACCTTACAAGCACACCAGTGATTTGTTTTTTTAAAGTTGTAAGTAGGGTGCTAAATCTCAAAAAAAAAAAAAAGTTTGTGTTCTATTTAGTATCTGTCTTTAGTACAGCTATTCAGAGTTAAGAATCTTCTGTTGCTGCATTTCACTAAGATTTGAAGCTATAAGATGATTTTTTTTATAATCTTTAATTAAATTGTAAGAATAGTCTTCAAATGTATGGAGGGAGGGTTAGGCTTCCACCTCCCATGGCAAGTCAGTGGGAGTTTGGTGCCCTTTGGGATCTCCCCTGCAGAGCTTTTGACATTTTGCAGTGACACTTCCATAGCAGCAGGTGGGTGCAACTTATGGGGGGAAAAAAAATCAGTCTGAATTTGGGAGGATTGGTGTCTTTGTAGTCAAGTGAGTGTTCAGGATTTATCTGACTGAGATTAAAGATCAGAGCAGCAGATGCATAAGCTCTGCTGCTAACAAAAATGAGTGGAAACTCCCCTTAATTTCAGTGGGTATTGATTAGATCAGATAATTAATGAAGTGATCCTTGGTATTTAAAGTCCTAGAAGAAACCTGCAGCAATGTTGTTAAAAATCAGATATGTTTTTGTGTTGTATTTATTTACTGATAAGGCAGTCTGTCTGGCCCAGTATGTCTTTGAAGTGTTCATTCAGCATCTTGGTTTGGGGAAGGCTGGTAACTTGGCTCCTGGTGTTGCCAATACGGTACTGCTACACAGTTCCTGAAGAGAGGGAGAGTCCAGTTGGTGAACCAGCTGTTGAATTTGGGTAAATTATTACAGACCACCTTGTAGCAGCTGATGTCAACAAGGAAGACTATAACTGCTAAGTCTAATAGAAGTGTGCTTAAACAGGGAACAGAATAAAATGGCCTTTTCCTGGAGGTCTCTGAACTGTCCATTCAGTTCTGTGTTACTCCTCAAAACCAAACAGACTTCACAACTGTTGCTTCAGCTTGCAAAGCGAAGTTAAGTGTATGGAAAACTCTCTTAACAATAGAAACAAAATTCTTGTAAGAAGTTGAGCTGTGACCAGGTAATTTGGCTGTGGATCTAGACTGGTCATTTTTTGTTCCCTAGGCATTTTTAAAAAAACACACTTCAAAGATGCCACCTTCAGAAACATATAGTGCAGGTCTAGCATACTATGCTCAAGTCAGGGGGTTGTACAGATCTGTGGGAACAGCATTAGGTTAATGTTGAAGAACTCTGAAAACCTGTACTTGAGTATCTTTTTCCAGGTACTTGTCTATGAAATTCCCACAGTACGTACCTATGTGCCTGTACAGGTGGTCAAATGTGGGGTTTTTACTGTTGCAGTGTTTATAATATTCTGACAAAGATTTCTCATGTTGTGTGTGTGATAGTAAGAGGTGGAGCTCACTCCTTGTTTTCAAACTCTTACTGAAATTAATCTAGTCAGGGCTGTGGAGATGTAGTCAAGATCTTGGTCATCTGGGTGGTGCTTTTGGGTGGGCTTCACCCCAGGAGAAGCACACTAGAAATCATATTGTGAGTTCCTACTGTCTGACTTTGTTTACAGATTGTCTTTTAACATTGTTGAAGACTTTTGTTGTTTTCTCCCTTATTCTTTTGGAGTGTCTGTTCTAGATTTGCTTTAGACTTAACCTTTTTTCTTTATTTTGGCTTTAATTGTAAGTGATCACAGTAACAAAACTTGCTTGGATGTCCCAAGTGGAACTTTTGTTTTGAACTTTGGGTCAGGGTGATGGGCTGCTGTGCTCCCAGCCTTTTTGTTGTGGTGGTGGTGAAACGTGCCATTCCAGACACCGTTCTCCAAGAACTATTTTTTACTTTACTAGTATTCCTATTCTTTTTTTAAGTAACTTTCTTATTGACATATACTGCCTGAGACCACAGTATGAATTTCAGGTCCTAAGCGGACTTCTGCACTAGGGCTAGTCAACTCAGTTGCTACTCTGGCTTCTTTGGTAATTTATTCCTGTCAGTGGTCAAGACACAAAGCTTGCGGGGGGGGGTGAGAAGTGGGGAGGAACTGTGTGTGCTGTGAGGTACAATCCAGTTTGTATTGCCACTTGTCTGGGAACTTCTTTGTAACTATACTTCTGGCTCTGGTACCCACGAGTAGTAGTGTTGTGCTGAGCTTAAGTCATAAAAACCATATGGAGTCCTCCCCATCAAGCAATCTCTTCTGTCCTCTCTTTTCTCCCTTTTGATTGATCACGATTGTCCGTTTCTGTCTTGTAAAAGGTAATTCTTCTGTAATTCAGATGTTACTGTTCTGACCTGCAGATTCTTGGAGTGTTGTATTTTCTCATGCTGCATTTATATGATTAATGTTTACCCCTGCAGTCATGTTGCTATAAAGTATCAGTGAAGTATTTTGAGTTCAAGAACAATCTGTGTTGACAAAGCAGTAGTTTTGCTAGTCTGGTAAAACTGCTACAGCCTAAGTCTTCCAATAAAACTGCATTATGTTTCTATGTCAGAGGTAATATTTCTAAGCATCTTACTTAAGATGGCAGAAGTCTGTAGACTAGGTTGAAGTGACAACACACATTATAGCTGTTACCAAACATGGAGTACTAATTTTTGTATGTCGAGCAGCAGTTATTTTGGTTTGGTTTCTTTTCTCCCAGCCTCCTGACTGAAACAACCTCAACTTATAATTTTGCAGGTGCCATAGGTGTGACTGTTCTACTTTGATGCATTTTTAAAACCTTTCACTCCTCTTTAGCATTGTTACTCTGGCTACTCGAGTTTTTAGTCCTGATACTGAGAAAACTTCATAACTGGCAATGGCAGATAGCATCTGCCATTTTGGCTTAATGCTTTTGCCAGTGTTGATGTATTTGGATTGTATCCGTGAAGAAAACTGCTTTTGATGATCTTTGGAGGTCTTTTGCAGTAGTTTATGTTTTGAAGAGCTAATACAGAATACCTAGTTTCTCAAGTCAAGTCAGCTGAAAATTCAGAAGTTATATAGAAGCTTAGCAAAAGTAGTTTCCTATTGCCACCAATATTTTGATGCTAAAACTGTTCCTTTTTTGTTTGTTTGTGTTTGCATAGAAACTGTGTGAGGGAATTCTAAACATCCTTGAAAAAGACACAAAAACTTCATGTCAAGTTGCCTGCCTGGAGGCCCTCCGGATTCTTTCCAGGGACAAGAAGGTTTTAGTGCCTGTAACCACGAAGAGGAACATGCAGATCATTATGAGGCTAGCAAAGCTGGGCGCTGTGGAAGATCCTTTGGAGAGAGTGTCTGAATTTCCTGTTATAGTAGAAGCTTTAAAATGTCTCTGTAACATAATTTTTAATAGTGCTGTTGCACAGAAGCTCAGTTTGGAACTGAATCTTGCAGCTATGCTCTGCAATCTTCTGGAAAAATGCAAGGAGCAACAGTTCGTTGATGACATTAAATGCTTTGATTTGCGTCTCCTCTTCCTCTTGTCGCTTCTGCACACAGATATTAGATCGCAGTTGCGTCAGGAACTACAAGGGGTGCAAGTTTTGACTCAGGCTTTGGAAAGTTCCCTGAGCGTAAGATGGACAGAAGAATATAAAGCAGCAGAAGATCATGACAGGCCTCCTCTATCTTTGCAAGAGACAGATTGCGCCATTGAGGCACTAAAGGCTCTTTTTAATGTAACACTTGACAGTTGGAATGTCCACAGCAAGGTAAGGCTTAGTTAAAGTGTTTTTTAAGTTGGTTTTGTTTAGCCTGCAAGAACCCAGAACCAGCAGGTGGATACACAAGAGGCAGTTGTTATCCAAGCCCCAGAGCAACCATTTAATACTTAACTTTTGCTGCTGTAATTTTGATGGAATATGATTGCATTTTTCAAAATACCAGCTAAGGTAGTCTTGAAATTTTGTATCATAATTTCTCTATGTGCAAAATTAGTCTGAGAAAATTTGTCTGTTTGAATTCTGATTGTGTCATGTATTGATGATCTTGGGCTTTCAAGAGGTGTTGAATCTTTAATACTCATTGCTTTGAATACCAAAATAACTTTTTTGTTCTTGTTACTACTTAGGCAAAAAATCTAATCCATACATTTTCTGTGTAATGGGAGAATAGCTTGGATTATAATAATGCAAGTTAGAACTGTATGTTTTCAAATAAAAAAAGGAAAGAAGACTATTTCATAAGAGTCTTAGATTTCCAAAAGAAAATAAATGCTGTTTGCTAATAATTATCTGGCTAGGAAAAACTTTTTAATGTAAGTGTATCAGATGGCTACATCTCTGGAGATTGTGGGCTATCGCAATAGGGTAATAATTAGAGCTGAGAAGCCTCCCTACTTTTCTTCTGTTTTTCTGGGCATGATGATAAGCGCATCAACTCTGATTTTTAACAAATAACTCTGAAGAAAGAGTGGTACTGTTTTTAATATCTGTATCTCCCATCCTCCCAACACCAGGTTTGGACTTAAACATGATCTTTTAAGATGAGGTCACGTACGAGAACCAAATGCCCTTTCATTGTTATGTCTTATGACTAAGATTTATCTTGGTTTTTTCATTATAATATCAGATCTATTTTTTTTTTTCTTAGACAAAGATGCTTCCTATGTGTTGCATCCCTAAATTTAAAAACATAAATGATAAGGATAAGGTTTTTTTTATTGAATAACCTAAGTCTGTGCTACAGTTAATAGACTTGTATAGGGAATCTTTCTTTTTAGTCCACATCATATTGACTCTAAAACAGTGTTGTTAACTTTTCACTGCGCATTGTAAATACGCAGCATATAAAGCTAAGCAGAAGTTTACTGTAGTTAAAACTGACAGATAATTGTTCTCTTTAGTGTATTGGACTAAACAGCAAATAAGACATTAATCATAACATTAAGGAATGTAAAACTTGAGAAAAGTCTGAAGCTTAGTCTTTGCTTTAATGTCTCAAGGATACACTGAATAAGAAATCCTGAAATTTAAGATTGAGTGAGTGGGGGGAAAAAATCAGAGAAGCTAATACTTTGAATTTCAAGGAAATACAAAGAAAGCAAGGGACTTTTCTCTTGTTTATATTCCTGACTTAGACCTTTACTGAAAATGTCTTTAACTTTGTCAGAGAAAGTTCTTTGTATAGGCAAGTGATTGTTTTGGAGGTAGAAACCTGAGCGGAGAAAAATTACCTGAAGTCAAGCATGTAACACAGCTATATGAATGATATGAATGTTTGCTAGTTCAGAGTTTGAGAAGTACTATCATTGCGATTAAGTTCTGTGTGGAGGAAATTATGTCAGGTGTTAAGTTGGAAAATGAAGCTATATTACATGTTCACCTCTTGAGAAGTGGGCTCTTGAAATCTGGATCTTGAAGTTGGTGTGCTCTTACAAAATACTGGTAATCTTGAGAGATTAAAAGCCCAGTTTACCTCAGATAGGTGGGAGGGAGGTGGCACACAGTTGTGGCGTTGCCTGATGAGGTTTTGTGTGGCTGCTCTCTGTGGAACGAGAGGGGGTTTGTCCCACAAAACTTTTCCTCCCTAAAGGGCGCAAGCATGCAGCTGTCAGAAAAATTTCCTTCAGATTGAAGGAAATTCTGGTGTTAGTAACCTTTTTTTTTTTTTCTTCGATGAGAGTTTAAGACATTCTGGGATGGGAGAAGCTTATTTTGTGTTTTGAGATAAAGCTTATGTAATGACTCTTTACTAAAAGTTCCTAAAAGCAAGGAACCTTTAAATTAAAGAGCTCTTCAGTAGTTGTAAACTGTCAGCCAGATATGTTAGGTGACATTCTGCTTAGCAAGTTTCCCTGTGGAAATATTAATGATCTGTAAGAAGAGTAAACAGCATGTTAATGAAGTGGGCTGAAGATGCAGAATTTGAAGAGATTACAAACAGTAGACAGGAAGGAAAATAAAAGGAGAGCAGGGAGGTTAGGCATGTGGGTAGAAAACTGAATGAGATCCATCCTAACGGGGAGAGAACCATTTAAAACACCAGTATTTAATGACTGGAGATGGTTTCAAAGTAGCAAAGCCAGACAAGAGCCGCAGGTGGTACAGTTGGCAGATTTGGATGCTGATGTTACAAAAGATGCATTGGGGTGCTTTGTGCTAGGTCAAACACACCAGAAGATACGATGGATGCCAAGAAGAGCTAATGAAAAAGGATGAGGACAATGATACACACAGGCAAATGATTGCAGCTACGGGTGTACTTTTGTGTGGCTGCTGTCTGGTGGGAGTTTGGAAGGGGGAATTGCTTGGAGAGAGCAAAAGTAGGGCAAATAAGGTTGCTGAGAGTAGAGAAGTTGTTAATGAAATGGAGAAAAGGTATCAAGGGAACAGAAGCAAGTGGATTAGAAAAGGAAACAGACTGGGTGGGGGAATGAAACTGTTGGCAGCAAAAGGTCTAAATGAGGAGGCAAATTAAATGAAGAACATATGTAATCTAAATGGATGAGGAGGCGGCCGGCTGTAAACACAGGAAGGAAGATAGTAGTGGTATGTTAGGAGCAGTGGTATGGAATTGAGCAAATGCTTGTAACAGGGTTTCCTGGTAGTGAAGGCTCATTTAACTGGAAAAAAGCAACTTTTACCAGGCCTAGTTAAAAGGCCAGCATATGACAGTTACGTTGCATTAAGCATTCAGTGAACTCTTAAGGTACAGTCCTTTTATTGATAGGGATGGATGTTATGATCTAATAGGTATTTTCCATCTTTAATTTTTATTATTCTAGTGACCTGAAACCCCCACTTGCAATCTTCAAAATGAAAAAATATCTTCATAATTTATATTTATATAGACTGAATCTCATCAATTTCGTTACATGGCTGCCATCCTTCGACACTGCTTATTAACCACGGGCCCTACTGAAGACAAAACTGAAGAGTTGCACAGGTTGGTAGAATTGCAGAACCAATCTTTTAGAAGGTTATTTATTTTTTAAGAAAATAGGAAAAAAAAATTACTTTGCCTAAAATCTAAAGTGGAAATCTGGGAAACAATGAAAGCTATGAATTTTGAGTAAAATATTATTAATCTTTTTGGTGAAAGCTGTTTGCCTGAAATATTGTTTAAGCATGTCCACTATTCCAGAGGGAAAGTGGCTAGCATGATTGTTATTTTTGATCAATAATAATGAAGCTGACCTTTTTGAAATCTGTTTTGTGTGTGTGTAACTGAGGATGAAAATACATATGGAAGTTCTAGGGGCAGTGCAAATTGGAGTGGAATGCAACTTCTGTTGTTTTGCACAGAAGCTGATGGATAAACTGCATTTTGAGATTTTTGTATGTAACTTTTGCAATTCTGATGGATTGGGATAGAAGTAACAAGTTGATATTTTATCTCCAATAGTTCTAGGCAGCTTTATTAGAAGTACAAATACCAGTTCCCTGGTAATGATGGTTTGGGGTTTTTTGGTTTGGTTTTTTTTTTTTTAAAGATAACTGAATCATCTTGTAGTTTTAGGTGCGTTGGTTCTTTTTCCCTCAGTCCTGCACCCAACTGTTTGTTACGTATTTGCAGCCAATAATTAAATCAAAATTCAGACTATTTTTAGTGAGGTGGTGGTTCTCTGTTCAGTATTACAGTTTTTTTTTTCTGTGACACCCTTACTTTTATCCAAGTAGGTCAGCTGTTCATGGGGCCTGACAGTATGGTAGCTTCAAACACTACCCCATGTTATCTCTCAGCATTGAAAATTAGTGTTGCTGTTTTCTTCTTCAGAGATGTCCGTATATCTAAGTGTAGGATCTTTTGAAGATCTTCTGAACCAGCAGTCTCCAGGAAGAAGGATATAGCTTTTCACACCCAGCAATCTTGAAAGTGTTAAATGAACTTGATTAAAATCTTGCAAAGCTTTTAGAGATCAACAGTCTTAGTAGGTGAACACTGAAATCCTACATCAGAGCCCTTCTCAGTTGGCGCAGACTAGTTTGGAATAATTTAGGATATTGCCACAGTAGTTGCCATGACTAAAGTTAGTGCTGAGTGTGTCCTAAAAGGCAGTCAGTGGTTTCTCTTTGCTGCTGCTTATGGTGGATGTTTTGCACTCTCATCCTCCTTTAAGGGAGGGACTGGTGGGAATACGTTCCCCACTGCTGGGAAAATGGAACAGATTTGGATAAATTCAACAACTAAAGAAGACAGAGATCGGCCTTTAGCATTTAGGTTTGTACATAGCCAGCAAGACTGCCTGATATTTTGGTGAATTATTATACAGCTGATGCTGTTTCTGTGAAAACATGTTCTGTTTCCTTTTCCAGGAATCTGACTAGTCTAATCGCCCTGTAAAATTTAATAATCTTGTGCTACTGCAAAAGGATGCATGTTATGCAGGTTCTTTTGGTTTTAGCTTTTGATGCATGTTATGCAGGTTCTTTTGGTTTTAGCTTTTGCAAACACTTGCAGATGAGATCCAAAAAGGGCTTTACATATAGAAGTAAGCAGCTGTGGAGAATGCGTAGTATCGGTGTGATTTCTGTACTTGCTTTTTTCAGTCAGAAGGGATATTTTGTGTGGAGATCTTGCCCACATGGACCTTATGGAGACACCAAGTCAAGGCAAGGATTCTCCATAATTCTGAGAGGTGGAAGCAGAAAAGAAATAAGGATGGTTATCACTGCCTTGTGTCACTTCAGTTATTTCCCTGTCTCCATCAGCACTGCATCAGTCTTCCTGTTATGCTGGGAAAACAACTTTCTCCCTCTGTTAGCCAACTGTAGCTGGTTTGTTTAGCTCAAGTTGATAGAAGAAAGAATGCAAGTGTAGTATTGCTGCATGTAGTATTCAGTCTTGATTTATGTCATACTCGGGGTTTTTTTGATGTGCTAGAAGAGCACTGCACAGGTTTTGACTTTTGTGATTCAAATATTTCAGCCCGTTTGCAGAACCTAGGTTTTGTCTTTGCTACAGGATGCAATAAAAGCTGAATAATTTAATATGCTTTTCCACCAAGACTATTCATTGGAAGGCAGCTCTGGAATAGAAAAGGTATAGTCAGAAGTAATGGCCCTGCAAATCCTCCGAGGGATCAGGAGCCTGGATCAGAGGGCCCCACTTCAGTCCCCTGATGTATTTGGGCAAGCAAAACCTTCATTCCTGACAGGAGCTTCAATAATGAATGAGTAAACTTGTGTTAGTGGTCTATAGCTAACATAGCATAGCTAAAAACATGAGGCTGTGTCGTCGTTTGGGCTGTTCAGCATGCTGGACTTTGACTGTGCAATCTTTATTGCTAGAGATGAGGTGTGAGTTGGAGAGCAGAGTGCAACTTCTCGCTCTGCTTTCCACATGGAGCCTATCAGTAAGGCAATTACAAAACTAATGTTAAAAAAGGAATAAAATACAAGCAGTGTTGAATGCAGAATAAACTTTATGAAGCATCAGGGAGGCATAAGTATATTTCTTAGAATTGCTCATCACTTGCACTTCTCAAAGTTTGTAAATCTGCAGAATGCGAGATGCTTAAATGAAGGGTTCAGACAGGCTGTTAAAGCACATTGTATGAATGCTTGCGCTCTGAATGTGTAAGCTGAATATTTATTTTATGTGAGCATCAGGTGTTGGATACATGCCCTGAGCTGTGATGTACTGATTGTCAGTGTGACTCTATTTCTAATAAATAAGCTGAAGTTACCTATAAAAATATCTTAACTAATTTAGTACCTGGTATTGTTGTCATTATTGTGGTTCTGTCATGTCATTACTTAACGTTTGAATATGGACAGCTTAAAGCACCACATATTAAGAGTGAGTGCCATTTTTGCCCACTAACAAGGTTTTAATCAAGGCATTCAGCAGCTCTAAATAGGCCTTTGCTTCTGAATTTGCATATCAGGAGGGGGCTGGGAGCATGAGTGGGTGGATGTCATGTCCCAGTGATTAATGATCTCTAGGAAGCCGAAAAGGGGAGAGTAATATACACAGTATTTCTACCCCCTGGAGTAGGAATGCAAACACTATTGTGCAGATCTGTGCATAGTCACTGACTTCCTGGTAGCTGGAGAATTTCATACACTCCTCTACCACAAATAAAACTGTCAGTGGAGTGACAAAGATCAGAAAGCCGGGCTTCATTTATTGAAAAGAATAGCTCAGACACAGTGATCCAGAAAATTAATTTTGTAGGTGTTTGGGAACTTGGTTGTTTAATAAGAAACTGGTAAAAAGAGAACTTTTGATGAAAGGCATGAAGCCACCAAATTTTTGTTGCATTGCAGTCTGTTTTGTTTCTGACTGTTCCTGAATTATTGGAGAGGAATAAGTTCCATGATATAAAAGACATATCTTAAGCAGGAATTAGAAACAAAACAAAGAGAACAAGCTTTCCAAAAAGTAGAAGTTGTCTGAATTTCAATTGCTAAAAGAGCAAAAGGGAGATGGCACAATGTGGAACAGCCACCCAGTCTGATCAGACCAAAACCAGCATGTTTGTTAGAAATCCTGTTACGTTTGATTGCCATGATTTGCTTTCTCTTTTACTGATTCTTGGTTAGAATTGTATTAATAACATAAAGACTGAGGGCAGCTTCTAAGTAGGTATTATTAAAAGTGTTAAATGAAGTTGCTTGAACAGTTTTCTCTATTCTTGGAACACTTCACCAGTCCTTGAAACATCCGTGCTCATAGTTTTGTTGATAGCTTTGAGGTCTGTATATGTAAGCCTAAATAGTTCTGTAGTATTTCTAAATATATCCGTTTATAAGTTTTGTTGGGCATCAGCAGAAATAATGACAGAATTCTAATTTTTGCAGCATCTGTGTAATTTAGCCCCGTATTCAGGAAGATTACAAATGCAAGTCTGTATAATGAGAACAGGATAGGTAGCAAACTCAAGGGATGTGTACCACAAAAGAGACCCTTGCAGAGTAAGTTCCATCTTACTCCATTAAAGAAGAGAGAGGGACCTTGTGGTCTAATTTAAATCACTTAAGGGATATTTGGGAAGCGCTCCTCTTTGTGCTCTGTAGAATGCAAAGACTGCCAGTTATTGAAAGGTAGCGCTTGGTAAATAAGCCTGAATCTTTTTTTAATGTGTTAAAAGCCTTCTGGATTTCCTACATACTGTAAGCTAAGTAAAAATGAAAATATTTCAGGGGACCTGAGAAATTGCCACCACATCCCACTGTTATAGGAGGAGGAAATGTTTTCTGTGGTGCACTTTGTCACATTAATGACGGTAATATGGGTGTGTTGTAAAATGTTTTACGTTTCAAGGAGGAAAAAGCTCTGACAGCTGCAAATCGATGTGAGAGTTCCCCCTGCTGTCCTGCAAGATCAGCTGCTGTAACACACTGCTGGAAGCTGTGCCTTATCTACGGGATAGGGTGCTGTGGGGGCTGGAAGTAATAATGCACTGCTGCAGTGTAGCTTTTGGAGCTTTTGTCTTTCTTTTTCCTTGTTTGTTCCAAGAGCCAGCACTCAGGCGATAATGCATGCCACCTTCTTTAAAACCCAGGGAGTAGAAAATAAAGCATTGTTTGAGTTGCATGGCCTCTTTTTGGTTGCAGTTGTACAAACAGTTTATGGTGAGTTGTACTCTGGTTTTAATTCTTCCTTCCAGACAAATAATTAATTTTTATAATCTGTTTCAGCAATGCAATCAACCTCTTAAGCAATGTTCCCGTTTCTTGCTTGGATGTTCTTATTAGTCCGTCATCCCAAGAGGAAACAGATATAAAATACAATGGTATGAATATGGGAGCAATTCAAATTTTACTGGATTTCATGGAGAAAAGAATAGACAAGGTATGGACTGCAAAGATTCTTCACAACAGGGGCCTCTTTCCTTAAAGCAAAAAGTGCACATATGTAAAGCTTCTTACAAACCTTTCACACAGTATTTAGCACAAATATGGATGTCCTTGCTTCTAGATTGTGAAACACCTCAAAATTGAGAACAAATTCCTGTGACTATCTGAAGTGTACTTGCTTGTGTGTGTGTGAGGTTGAATGTCTGGCTCTTTGTTCTATGTATCTATGTAAAGGTCATGTTCTGGCTGTCATACAGGACTTTATTGAAGGGTTCGTAAGATTTGAAAAGGAAAATTTGCTCTTAAAAATATTTTATTTGTATTTGGTTTTATTTTAGGGAAGCAGCTATAGAGAAGGTCTGACTCCAGTTCTCAGTTTATTAACTGAATGCTGCCGAACTCATAGGAATATCAGGAAGTTTATCAAAGCTCAGGTAAGTAAAACATTCATCAAAATTTGAATATGAAGCTAATGATAAACCTTCTGAGGTTTGTACATCAGTGCAAGACACTGATACTTTAAAAGTATGAATGGTTTTGTATTAAATTACCCACAAAGTTCTCTGCAGTATTTTTTTCTGTTAGGTCTCTGACAACTGTCAGCTATAGAAATATTTTTTTCCGTCATGTAAATCAATAGATATTCTGGCTTAAGTTCCATGATACATTTTGTAGAGCTGTTAAATAACATTAGGGGTATTGTAAAGCTGTGTTAATGTGGGTCACCATGGATCATGTGACACAGGGGCAAAGAACTCAGTGAGGTCTGTCCCCTTACATGCAGCATATCAAAAAAATTTCAGTGCAGTTAATAACTTTGCAAAGCTTTGTGGTAGCCAGTGAGGCTACAGGTGTTTTGAGGGTTTCTGCCTGAGCTTTAGTTTGACCTTCAGCAGGCAGGCGTCATTGGAACTGAAATTTGTGTACCCAGTAGTGTGCATCAGCTGTTCTGTCAGAGTAAAACTCTGTCCCTGAACAGAGGCACACTTCATCACTTGGTCTCTTAAAAGAGCTGTTTAATACAGTACAGACCGTGGGTAGGCTTTTTACAGGAAAAAAGATTTCCATGCCATGCTTAAAGATCTAAAGGATCTCTATGGCTTGGTGGTTGGGTGCGGTGTTTTCTTTTTGTTCTGCTGTTTTCCCTTAAGCTGAGTGGATAAAAGTTAGAAGATCAGCACGGGAGAGACAGCTGAAACCACCTGAGAAATGTTCTTTTTCCTAAGCTGCAGTGATTTTTGGGTTGCAGCTTAGGTGCTGCTCCCAGATCAAAGCTGTGCCTGAATTCATAAACGGAGTTTATAATGGAAAAGAGCACATTTTGTATGCATTTTCTGCTTCTTTCATCTGTACCAGAAAAGTGGTTATGAGAAATTTAAGAAACTCATTCTTGGTGTTTATTGTTTTTGTTTACAGTAGTTCTTTCCTAGGATACTCTTCTAATCTGTTAGGCTTCGGGCAGCTCCGTGCCCAGCTCCCCTGTCTCGGAGTCAGTGCTCTGCACCCCCCCAGATGTGACCTATGCCTCTGTCATCCTGAGGGATTATAAGCAAAGCTCGTCCACCCTGTAGGCACTGCAAGAGACAAGATGAGAAGGACTTTGGTGGCTGCCCGCTGGGAGCTCCTGGGGAGACAAGTCTCCCAGGGCTGGGGGGAGAGAAAGCAGAGAACAAAGTCACATATGACAGGGCAAAAACTTCATCCTGCACTTAAATAAATAAAAGGAAAGAAAAAGAAAAAAAATCCATTCTGAGGGCTCAAAATTCTCTAACTGTTAAAAATAACAATATTTACTTTGAGAAAATGACAGGAAACCATAACAAAGCACAAACCCAAGAGACAACTTCTATAGCAAAAAAAAAAGTAACTAAACACACAGGAAAAAAAATATTCACACTTAGTCACACCCTCTCTTGGCAATGCTTGAAAAGGACTCTGGGAAGTGTGACCTGGAGAAGTCATTAGCACATCTCATGACTGCTGTCTTTCTGCTTACGAAAGCAACACACCCCGGAGCTGGAAGGGAGGAATGTGATGAGGAGGAGCGAAGCTACTTGTATATGAGACATATATGCATAGGGTTTTTTTCCTGGTTTCTATAGGTGGTATAACTGTGTAATTTGGGGGGAGTGGAGCTGAGCTAGTGTGAAAGCACATGGCTCTTGCTTTTGTCTGAACAGTTTGTTCTTCATACTAGGCTGCTTTTTGGGGGATCTGGGCTTTTTTTAACACTGATTGTGAACAGAGCGAAAAATACGATCAAGTTAAGACTCAAGAGGTTTCTGAAGAAAGCCCTTGCTGTAGTACTTGTAATATGATAAGGACTTAGAAAAACTGCCCTTTTGTATAAGATTGCAAACCATGTGGCTAAACTGTTACACAACATTTCCTGTAGCAGAACAATATTTATTGACTAACTTTTCATAATACAACATATTTGCCATGTGATACATCATTCCTTTGTGTGTCTTTGGAATCAGATACGCTGGAAAATAGCTGTATACTTAGAGCAACAACTATTACTCTGAAAGAAAGGCAATTCCATACCAGGGGTTATAGTGTCAGTCTCGAAGCAAGAGAGTGAGCGTATGTTTGTGTTTCTGTATGCGTGTGTACGGTATGTGTGAAGCGTAATGTCCAATGACTACCACTGGAAGATTGTCGTATATACTATGAATATTTTTATGTTTAAATCATGTTTTATATTGCATTGTTACAAATATTCAATAGATCTTTGGAGGTTTGTATGCTGTGCTAACACATTTTTTTTCATATTCAAGCTGAGACAGTTGTTACCCTTATAACAGGGTGCTTTATTTTGCAGATATTTTACAAAGTAGGCATATGGTATTAACAACCAGTGCATTGAGAACTTGTTATTTTACATTTGCAGCAAGTGTGGTTAACAAAAAAAAAAAAAAAAAAAAAAAAAAAAAAAGAAAAACACAAAAAGAAAAAAGTCTGGTTTAGAAATCTTGCACATGCCAGTATAAAGGCAAGACAGGAAGAGTAATTAAACTATTTTGTTGCTTCAGATAATTTAAATTAAATCATGTCCAGACAGGAAATTTCATCAGTGCTTAATGTGTGCATAAATTCCCAGGGTTTGTTGTAAACAGTTTTTTGAATCTCTTTATGATGTTTAGTTGTGCGTTCTTTCCATACACTTTTACTTCTTTTATTTAATATACAATTTTGTATCTCAAAGGTCACTCCTAGGCAGCTGTAGTTCCATCATTCATTCCTTTTCCTCTATCCTTCATGTATTTCCTAGAGATGGGCCTAATCCTAAGCTCCCTAGTGGCTGGCATGTTCAAAGTCCGGGTCTAATTGCTGTGGCTTGAACTTAATTATACTTATAAATGTGTGTGTTATACATATGCAGGACAGGACTTTAGCTGCTATGAACTTTGATTGTGCTGTTGAATTTAGCTGAGGATCTGTCCCACAATTTTACACTTCATTTCCAAAGATGTTTTTAAGGAATGTCTTCATGCTAATATAGTTGTAAAACCTGATTTTAACCTTGCTTCTTGGGAATATTCTGGAAGGGCTTTTCTGAATTCAGCATATTTCTACACTTTTTCTTTCTTTTCACTTGGATTTTAAGAAGTCCTGTTGCTAGTCATCAATTCTTCTTGGAAGGTCCAAATCTCATTGTTTTGATCTAACTATATAGTAGTGGTGTTGGAAGGTTTGGCTGCTCAAAACCAGATAGAGCCTTTTTTCCTCATCCTCTTTTCACAATGTTTGCTCTTTTCAATATGACTACTGGCCAATTGCTATCATTGTCACGATGTGGAAAGCATGAAATTACTTTGCCCAAAGACATGGTTATGCCTTTGTCAGTAGACTGATGTCTCTGTAAGGAACTAAAGATACCTGAGGGTCACTTGTTGATTTTTGTCTGCTTGTGGCTTTTAGGGGGATATTTTTTGTTGTTGTTTTTGTTGTGGGTTTGTTTTTTTTTTAATGCTGATTACTCATTAAAGCAATGAGAAAAATGCCATATTTTCTTTGCTGATCACCACACTGGCAATGAATTCTATCATCTTATAATCTTAGCATAAGATTTGTTGTGCTGTTTCCAAAAACATATGTTGTCAGTAGCACAGAGCTAGTACTAGGAAGCTGGTCTTTGAAGAAATGAGATAGATAAGAAAAAGAAACATAAGAGATTCGTATAGATGGGGAGGTGGAATGTGGCAAGGTACTATACTGCTTTCATATCTGTCTGTTTTGAACATATTAAGCACTGATTTTATTACTGCAATGTAATTATATAATGAGTAGGAGTTTTCTCAAAATTCAGTATATTAGCTTTTAGTTTGTAATTGTTAAAACTGGAAACATACACATACGTAAATATATCTAAAGAGCAAGAACTCACCTTGTGTATGTAGTTGTATGAGCTATGAAGCTTCCTGTAAAAGTTCTTTCTTTTGGTCTGTCAAATGCTTGATGAAAACTGCCTTTTTGTCAAAATGATCTTGGAAATGCTGTAAAATAAATATTTTCTATTTATTATTTAAAAATAGAATGCCAAGATTGTTAATTTTTGATTTCTAAGTAGAAAATAGCCATGTCTAGTAATTAATCGTTCCAGAGCTTTTCAGCATTGTGTGTGAGAGATGCTCAAATGGAGGTAGGTATTGATTAGATTGTGGCATGTAGGTGAGACGGTGGAGAGTTGGAGGGTTTTTGTTCAGAAAACAAACCCCAGCTTTTTGGCTTCCTAATAAAAATCAGGAGCACTGTATGTATGCATATGATGTGTCGTAGAAGAGAATTCAGTGAGAAATGACAGGAAATTTTGCTTCCCAAGGACATGGGGAGACACCAGCCTTTCACTGGAAATATTCCCTGTGTTTGACTCTGTGAGATGTCAGCTTCTCCCGTCAGACGACGCAAATATGCTTTCTCAACAGCTATAACCGATAGGCATTGATCCATCCTAGGCAACTTGTGCCTCCTTCCTTTACTGCCTCTGTATAAAGTACTAGGACTCTTGACTCCTGCTCTGCAACTCACGCACACAGTGGCTTTTTGGTAACTCCTGAACTGCTGCATGCCTTGGCTAGGGGCTCAGTAAGATGGGAGTATAAATGTTTTTTCTGGAGTGCTGCTGAGATTTTCATACCCAAATGGCATTAAACATAGAAAATCTAGCTCTTTTTCTCTTTAAACTTGCGAATAGGCTTGTTTCTAGTGGCTCCTTGGTTTGGATCTGGCCTTGCAAGAGCCCACGTCTGAGGAGTCAGTTGACCTACAACTACTGCACTGCTGGAGTACAGAGAATGACATTACATTCAGAGGTAAGTGCCAAAAGTTTGGTCTCTTTGCTTGTAGAGTTTTTTTCTTTTTTCTATTTTTCCTTTTTTTCTTTTTCAATTAAAGTCTAGGCAATCTATGTCAGTACAGGTTCTGCTGATCAGGTGGACTGAATTACAAAAACATCCTCCAGGGCACCCAGTACAGCGTTGCTGCCACCACCATTCTTGCAACTGGTTGCTGTTTGTGGGACCCAGCCCACAGCATCTGATCCTGAGCCCACTGCACATCTCAGCAGTCGCACGTGGTGTTTGGGGATACATTGTACAATGAACATGGGAACAAGTATGATGGTAACATCTGAGAATCATCTAAGAAATACTATAACAATTGTTATCTGGTGTCTAACTAGCTACACATATGCTGTGCAAATGAACTCATTTCAGATTGCAGTATTCACATAGGAGGTTAGTGCTAATTGTTTTATGCATGACTTTCCAAATGGTCTGACTAGCATAGCAAGCCCAGCAAGTCTTGCTTTCTTTTTGATGCAGTTTCAGTTTTGTATTGCTGTGCTTTGAGCTTCCAGCATGGATGAGGATCATTTCAGTTTAAGTCATTCTAGACCACATAAATATTTCAGTTCATACTCTTTTTCTTTTTTTTTTTTTTAATTTCTCCACATAAACATACAACAATATGAACGTTACCAGAAAGAGCAGATTGGGCAAAATCTATATAAACAGACTCCAGTAGCTATGAGCAAACAACAGTTGGTGGAAGTGCTAAAGGAAAATATGTAGAAGGCCAGCTGCTCCAGCCTGTTAAAGCTGCTTTATTAGTCTCTAGATTTCCAGAGCAGTTCTTAATGTGCTTTGGTCTGACAAAGGAAAAGACTACTCTGGTGCTGTAGAGTCTTTTTAGAGTCCTTTGGCCCCAGCCCCAAGGGCAGATAATCTGACAGGTGGAAAGGGAATGGAGTTATATGCCTTCAGCTGCGTTTCTCTTAATCTAACCTAAGAAAAGGCATAACAAAATCCAAGGCTAGGGAGACACAAGTATGAAAGCTTTAAATTAGAAATAAGCAAATCTGAATCTTCAAGATAATTGAGTACTGCAGCAGATGATTGGGAGATTTAAGCAAATTTTCTTTAAATCTTCAAACCAGTGAAGAATTCACAGGGTAGAATTGTTAGGCTTCTGCTATGCAGCGGGTCAGATTAAATGACCATAATATTCACAAGCTGCCAAAAAAGCCCGTCTAAAAATGCTTTACACTGCATAAATGGATTACGTGTCCAGGACCAGAGAGCAGGGAAGCGGCTTAACATACTTGAGCGTTAGTCTCCAGCCTCCAGCCAAGGCTAGAGTGTTGGTGTCTTGACCAGCCTGGTTGGGTCTCTGGACCCAGGCTCACGTGGCACATCCACTTTGCATGCAATAAGTGGCTATCAAAAGCAAAAGGCAAGGGAAATTGGGCCCCTGGAGTTGTATTCACCACTCTTTAGGGAAGAACAGAGAAGCAGGTTGCTAATAGCTGTTCTACACAAGGTCTGAGAGGCTGTTAAAACTGTTTCTTACATGGGAGTGGGAGAAGCGTGGTTTTACAGATTGTATTGTTGTGGTGGGTTTTTTTCCCAAATAAATGAGTCACTAGACACTTGGCAAGTACCTGCCTGCAAATCACTGGGAAGGAGAAGCAAACTCTGTAGCGACTATCAAGACCTGTTTCTATCTGTGTAAGATTTCCAACAGCAATATTAACAAAAAGGGAGATAAGGAATGTCATGCAGCCAAGTGCATTGTACTACCACAGGCCCCATATCTGGATCTGGGCCCATGTTTTAGCGAATCCTGCAAGCTCCCAGAGATGGTAGATGAGAGCAGAAGTGACTGGTTGCTATTTTCAGTGCTATGGGTAAATCCTATTCAACTCAAAAAACAAGCAAGGTATTCTTTGCCTTTGCTAACTCAACTTCCACTTCTCAATAAATCACACAAAAGAGGACTGCTCCCCACCTGAGAGAGCAGGTCACTGTTTGGTACCAAGAAAGAGTATCTGTTACCTACTCAGTTTCAAATGTGGGCGTAAGCAATATATCTCTACAGAAATAAAATATCATTGTGAGTTGTGGGTTTCCATAACCGAAAGGCCTCTAGGTAGGTGGAGAAGCAGCTGGCACAGATACCAGTGCAGACAGATAAGAGTTTAGGAGTGGTATGTATCTATGACATTCAATCCACCCACTTATTTATTGCACACCATGCAATACGTAGGTGGCATGAAATCCAGCCCCCAACCCACACCATGGCACGGTGTATGGGACTCCTACCTCCCTGTGCTGCTCTGAGTCTGTCTCAGGAACAGGGATCTGTGAGACCTCCTTCCTGGAAAGGTGGTGTGCCTGGGGGACTGGCTCAGGGTAGACAAGTCTCTGGTCAGCTCCTTCTGACCCCCTGTTTTCCTTACACAGGGTGTCTTTGCAGTGCACCAAGAGCATATTTGCCTTACAGGCACTACCTAGAGATGTGGGATTTCAGTGCTGTGGAGGGCCTCGAAAGAAGTCAGTATTTTAACAAGAGCTGTTTCCCCAGCTCCCCTCCAACAGACTGCATGAAGGCTGAGGTGGGACCAGTCTCCCCAACTATGGCAAAGCAGACCTGTCAATCCTCCAGCCCTAATCTGGGGGGTGATGAACCATTGCTTTCCTGAATGCCCAGCAGCATGTGCTGCCAAATGTCTATGGTGTGCGTACAGCCCCTGCACACGAGCTTGGTGGAAACATCACACGTGCTGCTCCCTGAGCTGCTGGTGCCGGGAGGGCTCAGCAGCACAGCAGGCTCTCTGTAGTCTTCGCTGTCCTTAATGACACAGGGTAAGAGAAAGAGCAAAAGAGAGAGAACAGCTTGCTTTTATCTCTCTTACAAGAAAGGCGGGCAGGACTGCACTCTGTAGCCAGCAGCATATCTCTAAAGACTTCAGCTAGAGCCTCTCTTCTGACAAATTCATGTCAGCTCCTGCAATTTGCATTTGGACAGACCTGAAAAGTTGGCCCTTCATTCTTCAGCTACACTAAAATAGACAGACTGCAAAATTATCAAAGCAAAATGCTTAAATACCACCACTGGGAGTGATGGCTCTCATGGAAGTTGAATCTAAGCAATGTTTTCAGAAACTTACAGTATAGAAGTTTTTTAACATGCCTTTTAGACTTAAAAATGCACTAACAAATAGATGTCTTTTTCTTTTGGGAAGGAGGCAAGAACTAATGTGTTTTCCTGGGATGTATTATACGCATGTTGTTTGAACATCTAAGCAAAACAATTCAGCTGTATTTTACTTTGGCAGGTACCTTGGCAATTTTCTGGGGGGAGTGTGTTGAGTTTTTTGGTTGGTGGTGGGGGTGTTTCTGCTTAAAAATAATGTCTGGAATACCTAGCAGTATTATTAACTCTGCCAGGTTTTTCATGTGCATCTGTGCAATGCTAATTTATACACTGAAGCCTTTAAGTGCTGAGATCCTCAATGTGTATGAGTAAGTGTAGGAATTATGTCATTTTCCTCAAGAAGCTGGTCCAGTACCTGTGCTACTAACTTTTGAGTTTCCTAAAGATGCGCTTCCCATCCGAAGGTCCATCTTGCGGTTGTGAGGATCTTTGGCTTGTCTCTGGTTTTGCTGCTGCTGCTGCTCGTTATTCTTATCATTTTGTGCGGTGCCTTTGCCAGCCTTGGCACAACTGCAGGGTGGAAGTGCCTGTCAGGTTGTAATTCCCCATCAGTGCTGAGAGATTTTGCTTCTGAGCTCTATATCCCTTTTTGAGAGGTGGCTAAGCTGCCGGTCCTCCCCTCCATCCTGTTCTTTGCCCTTGGGCAATACGGTTATTCACTTTAAAAACCACAGAATAAGAAAGTTTTGCTCTCCTGTTGCCCTTGGCAGCAGGATTTGTGCAGACCCATGGACCCAGTGCTCATATAGGGCAGTCTGGCAGGAGTCAACGTTGTTGGGGACGATCTTGGCGCATCGCAGCCTGGCCCCGAGCTCTGTCCCCAGTTCAGCTGTTGATTCATGTAGAGGCTTTGGGACATTCATCTACCCAGGGGTATTTCAAAGCTGTGTAAGGGGGCTGGGTGCCAGTTTACAGTTAACGCAAATAAGAACTGGGCATGGAAATCCTTTAGATGCCTTTGAAAACTCAGCCTGTCTTTCCCTTCATTTCAGGTCTGGACACAAGAGAGGAGTATATAAAGACATGAGGATTTTCATAGCCTTTTAATTCTCCTTCCCAACTCCATCTCAATGCCATTTCACTCTTGCTCATTCTTCTCCAGCCTTCTTCAAAAGCATATATAGCATAGCTGTGGAGGTGGCACTATCTAGTTCAATAGTTTTGGCTGGGACCCCTCATTTTCCTTCCTGTTTCCAGTTACCTCATGATCAGTGCTAAAGGAAGATTTTGGAGGTCTGTGAAAACTTGTGGACCACACAAAGAGGAGGCACAACAGACACATCAGCTCAGGTGCTGCAGTCGTATAAACCATCAAATAAGGCCACAATTCATGGCCAAGAGGTCTAAGGAGAAATAGTTTTCCCAGCAAGATCCAGGCTTTGATTCCCGGCTCCAGCATTAATTCTGTGTTGTCAGCTGCAATACCACCACTAGCAAAACACTCAGAGCCTTTTACTACTTATTGTTGTTTTTTTGAGATAGGTATCATCATCTTCAGTGGCTGCTGTGCACAGACCTTTCCCCACTTTGTTACCACCACTTACAAAACTTTCAAAGCCTTTTTCTTCTTATTGCTGTTTTTCAAGACAGGTGTCATCATCTTCAATGCCAAGTACACCCGGTCCATGAGAGACTGGGCACTGTGCAGTGCCAGAGCAAGATCAGGACCCAGAGCACACTGCTTTGAGACTTTTGTGTTGTATGTGTTTTGTTTCTGCATTTAGAGCTCTCTGAGCTCTGCTGGGAACCTCAGCACCTCTGTTCACAGTGGCATGAACAACACTCAGCTGGCAGAAAACACCACAGCAAGCAATAT